CAACAACAACAACAACAAATCTTTCTGGAAGTAGATTGCCCCATCTTTCTCCCACAGAATGGCTGGCGGGTTTGTACTGCCAACCTTCTGGTTAGCAGTCAAATGCCTTAGGCACCATGCCAACCAGAGCTCCTTAGTGGGCACTGTACTAACCTTTATATGCATTTTGTTAATTTATCTTCTTAATAATCCCGATAAGTTTGATACTACTCCATTAAATTGTAAACACACAAGAATAAGCAAAATGCACATTTTCTCTCACCACTGTATACATAAAGTAAGCCCAGTGCTTTGCACAGGGTAGCACTAAATATTTGCTTTATAATAATAAGACAGAATAAATTAATGACCATTATGTTCTGCAAATGATGAACCTGTCCAAGGTCACAGAGTTGGAAAAACAAGGGAAAATAACTGAATCCAAGTAGTCTGTAGTAACCACTACAATAAGCTATTATACTTACTAGTTAAGCTTGTACTATTAATAACATATCAACACCTCCTTATTAATTTTACATATGTATTTTAAGTTAACAAATAACTGTACTAATCATAGGCCAAGTAAGTACCCATAATATTAGGAGCTGCAAATGAAGTTAAATAACTTGCAAAAACAGGATACAAACCATTCCTTGCCAAGGTGGTGGTGGTCCCATGTTATGAAATTCCCTCACATAATCATTGTAGGACTAAAATGAAAGATGATAATGTCAATATTAAATACAAATCACCCCAGAACTACAAAAATAAATCAGATCCTGATTTTATCTATGTGAATTCTATAAAATGAAATGCTTACCCCATTTAAAAACACATCTCGACGAACTCCTGAAAATCGTCTGTTGGGAATAAGATTTGTGAAACTAAATTCAGGTAATTCATAAACTAGTTCCAAGAACGTAATTCAAAACTAAACAAGAGTGAGCCCAACTTACCTGTCTACTTCCTGGTATCGTGGATCCTTTAAATACCCTGTTCAAACAGCAAGCATTTTAGTATATGATATATATAAATTTTTATGACGGCATTATAATTAAACCTTCCTTACCACTCAATTCAGTTTTTTCCATGAAATATGTACCTTAAGTGCTGCTACGGTATTACTCCATTTTCAAATTTTCTTCTCGGTTTACACAATAACATGGAAAGCACCTAAATAACTTCATACCACAGAATTATGAACTGTTACTGTTAGAGAGGCTTTGGTATGAATCTTCATACCCCAAATCTGTCTAGATAGAACATTTCTTCATTCTGCACCAAAGCAGGAATAAGGGCAAAGAAATATTTAAGAAACACTGTAATAGGACTTTCTTAAAACAAATATTTATGTTCCATCTTGAGTATGTACATACAGGCCTTACTAAGTCAACCATAGTTTTTAAAAATGCAAATGAGAGGAAAACAAAATTATAAAAATGAAGGACCATGGAGATAAAGAGAAATATTCTTTCTTCTCCTTCTCTTCGTCAGGACCCAGTAAATTAAAATATAAAAACACCTAAGCACCCGTATTTCTGGGGAAAAATTAATTTCACTTTCAAGAAGTCTCCCAGTTTAAGAAAGAATGAGATCTATCAAGCCACTTGTTTAACAGTGCTATTAGTGTTTACTAACACCTATTTCCAAACTGTCTAAGTATTTTAAGTGTCCCACTGACTATGTTTTAAATATGTGTCTTTCCTTGAACACAGTTTGCCAATGAGGCACAGACTAAGTGAAAAGCTGCCTTTAGATTACAAACCAAATGTGCCTCTATTCCTCTCAAAAAACATGAAATTAAATTATTCTAGTTAAAAACATATGACATAATTTCAGTTTCTGTTACACCTAAATGCCATATAAATTGCTGTACCACAGGGAATAAAAAGCTAAGAGAATAGGTCATTAGCTTTCCCTGACTTTATTTTTATATACATGTGCAGGTAAGTTTCCATTTTTGCAATAATTACAGATTAGTTATTTCAGATAATAGATTATGGTAACAAATTATACTGGAATATACTAGACAACTATGATGGAGTAGGGAGGAACTGTTAATGAGATTTCCTAAGGCTTAGTACTCACATCCTAAAGTTTCTCAATTTTAAAAGTTTAGGAGTATGATAGAAGTATATGTATGTTTTTAAATAATTCTAAGTCAAATATCTGCAGGATTATAAAATATTAACCTGGTCTCTGATGAAACTCAGGGGGATAGTCAATCCTTGGTTTCTTTCTGCTGTTATGAATATCATAATCTTCTGGTCGACGCCTACACAAATTAGACACATTAGAAATTAAACCATAAACAGCTGAGAGAATAAACATCAAAGCAAGAGCTTTTGACAGAGACAAAGAATAGTTCATTATTTCCCTTAAAAAGTCCTAATTTTTGGTTAGCAAATAACCTTGAAATTCCTAAATTTTAATTCCTCCAAATTATTATAAACCAAACCTTCGATATATTGTTTAAAGTTATTACCCTACCATCTACAATCTCATGCTATAAGGAGACTCACAGAGAAAACCACCTGCTCAATGCATGTATAGCACATTTTAGTGTTCTAAGCAAAAGTAAACCTATCACCATAAAACTAAATACCCAGTTTAACAAAACACTTTCCAAAATACTGTCTCCATTCCATTCAGGTGAAAAGCAAAAAAGAAAAAAGAAAAAGGAAAAAAAAACCTACTGTCATTATACATTAACTAAAACCTATATATTTTAACTTATTTAAGTCATTTTTGGATAAATCTAAACAAAATGAAGAAATTCTTAAAATTTTCTTCTGCTTTGCATGTAACTGTACTTTTCACATAATCATACAGAAAATCTGATACTTAAAGTAAATTTACATGGAAGTTTTAAAAATTTTAATACTTGGGAAAAACTAATTTCTACAGTTAATAACATTTAGGAATTAAGGAAATTTTTTTTTCCAAAGACAGTGCCATAATGTAAAACTGGCAAGTAATAGTATCAGAGTCTTAATACATAGTTCATAAAACTAATTCAAAGTATATTCTTTAGAAGGTGAAATTTTACTGTCTGCAGAGAGGTGCTCTTTACTGTCTTCCATAAATCTCGATGGTTGTTTTCAGACATCATTAAATACACTTCATTTTACTCATTAGCATTGAGTTGAGGTAAACAATATTTAAAAGAAAAAAAAAAAATTTCAAGTTTTTTACTAATAAATATAGCTTTTTACCCTTTATGTCAAATAAAAACTCTAAACAACCTGGTATCACTGTTTTTTAGCTAAGTTTTCTGAATACCGTTTTCAATAACACAAGTTCAACTGTTTCATTTAGTCAAACTGCAAAGTTAAGTGCAATAACCCCAAGCCCCCCAACACAACAAAAGCAGTTGCATCTACAATAAATAAAACTAAGAAAATTAAAAGCTGGTTTAAAAAACAAACATACCGCTTTCTTGTAGTTTGGGTAGTGCATTTACGACCGGTATAAAACATGATAGTAACAGTTCATATAGTAGTCCAACTACTGACTTTAAGCTGTAAGCCACATACATAAATGGAGGCCCTGGCAGGCTTGAGAGGAGGTGTAGTGGTGTAATAAGTATAGTTTGCAGTCCATTGCAACACTGAGGTAAAAACTTCACTTGTATATACTGTATTGCACTGGAAACCTCTTAGCTTAAAACTTCAAAAGACATCTCGGTGCTCAGTCCTTTTAGGCCAAAAATAAGGGGACTCTGCCAGGTTTCCTCCTACCTACTCCAGCGTCCTTGTTAAGCTCAAAGAAATGGGGACTCTTGTTGGATTATCTGTACCTACCACAGGATGTTTCCACCAAAGGAAACTTAACCAAAGGTTTCATCCCATCAACCACACTTCCAACAGTCTTTAGCAGAATATTTTAGATTTAGCTGTATGCAAATCTATACAAGGGAAGGTGTTGGATAGAAGGGCTTAAATCAGTCCTTTGCAAAGACTTCTCCAATTCTGTAACAAGTTAAACCCCCTTTTCCTGGAAAATGCTGTTTAGTTCATAAGGTAGTGATCAATAACCATGGCGATCCTCTAATAAACACTGTTAAGTCCACAGGTACTGCCAGCATCTGGAAAAGTTGTAAATAGACACAGCAACAGCCCTTCTTTTTGGTTTGTTGCCGGGTCTCCCAGGGCCACTTGATCCCCTTTGGAAAGAACCTATTGTTTTCAGAAGCTCAGCAAGATGTGTGAATTCAGTGGGTACATGTTAGAGAATATCTGGCAATGGGGTTAACACATCACGGTGGTAAAATTTCAAACAGTCCCAATAATGCTCCTCTTGAATATCAAAATAACTTAAAATATTTTATCCTCTAAACGAGGCGTCATCTTCTGAAAAGATATTAGTGATCCTTTTTAAAAGTCCCATATCTGATAAGGCTTATCCAGAGACACACCTGAAAGAAAAGGCTTTTTACAAAATATTAACAACTTTTGCAAATAAAGACTTCCTCCTCCTCTTCCTTTCTAGCCTGTTCTTAGTAACAAATGCCTACCTCATTTCAATTATATTATAAGAAAATTATCTAATCTAAACTAGCTATCACTCTTTAGCAAACATTTTTTCTGCAAAGGAAAGATCCCCATTTTCCTCTTGAAAAATGACAGAGACCAAGGTGACCATGTGAAATCCTCAATGAAGCCACAAACTAGTCCATGCAGCTTGATTTGAGGATTTTCTCTTTCTTCTTTACCGCAGGACAAACTTTTGACGAATCACATTCCTCCATCATGTTATTCTGACACATGTGCCTATTATCAGTCCAAAGAACGTTTCTAACCTTCCCACATCCCGGACTGGTTCTCGACGGGATGGACGTCCTCTTGATCGGGGCTGAGAATGCATTCTTCTCTTATGACGCATTTTATGAATGACCTGATACAAGTCAATACTTTCATCAGGAGGAAACAGAAGACAAAGTTGGGTTCCACATTCAAGTTCAATTTCCTGGAATAAGAAAAGTAGCAATTTACAAGCTGGCATAGGAGAACCTTTCAACAGACTTGCACTTTCCTGATGTACAGACCAAGAAGAGTGTCTTAGAAGCTTCCTTCTCAGGATTCAGGATCAAATGGAATTGCATTTACACATCTTCCTGATTTAAAAAATCTTTCAAAAGTGTTTCATATATTTATATAAAGAGTAAAACTAGAAACTATGGTATCTCTAAGGGTAGACACGCAATGCAGTTGCTTAAAATTCTGACTGCAACAATCACTTTCTGCAAAAGAATATTCTTTGTGCAAAATACAAAAACACCAGAACAAAGCCATCTATCTTAATATAATGGAAGAAAAATATATATATTAATTTCCATGAAAATACTTTTATGTGGCATCTAATTTGCAAGAATCAGTATCTTAAGTCACGAAGAACAAACATAAATTATATTAACTGATACTAACAAATTAATCATTTAATTATGTTAATGTGTGTCAATAACATTAATAATTATCAACTGCTAAATACACTGATATATATTAGATTAACTATAAAGGTGGACTAGCCTATAGATGAGTTTTCTACAATTAACTTTTTCAATTACCAACATTTTCAATTATGAGCTATGGAAACAATACTACTTCTAGTTCTGAATCATGAAGGGAAACTACAGAGGGCAAAGATTTAGGTCTATTTCACATCAATGCATACGTTCAATTTAATCTGCAGACTTGAGAAACAAAGGCACTTAATCTTCTTTTCCTAAAGCTCCCTTCTATTCAGAAACCCTCAAGATGTTAAATAGCATTTCTAAATGTATCATACAAAGTATGAATCTGTTAAACAGTGTTAATAAAAAAAAAAAAAAAACACATAAACCAGTGCTCTTGAAAAACTTTCCCTTCAATTATATAAAGAAACTCCCATAGAAAACTACCTGTATTTTAACATCAATGTAGTTCTTACTAATCTGTTGTAATCATAGTAAACTTGAGCTCCAAATAAAAAGTATTTTTCCTTATCTTTCATATCAATTCTCTCAGAAATGGTTTTAAAAATTGTCTTTCAATCAAGATTTCTAAATGGGTCAATTAAATGTGTGTTCTAAAAGAAGTAATTAAAATGACAAACCTGTCCATCACGTCCGATCTTTACTGGCTTATGTTCATTCCAAGGATTGGTAAGATGAGCCGACTTAGTGAAGGGTAATTCACGCCTAAATACAAAGTGTTACCACTTATATTTCACAGAATCTTATAAGGACCTTATATCACGTAAGTAGTGGATACCTATGTTAATTATGGTTTAAATGAACTAAAATGTCAAGAACCACTTAGACTGGTAGAGCTTATTTCCTATAGAGAGAACCCTTTCAGAGAAGAGCTCTTACAACTTTGTCCACAGATGGGCTTTGGAAACAAGACAGTTCTGAGTTTTAAATCCCAGATTGTGTTCTCTCTCTCTCAACTTCTTTGAGCCTGAGTTTCTTCATCTTATAAACAAGAATAATCACCACCCATTTCCTTGTTGTTTTTAGTTTGCACATGGTATAGCTTATGTACAATATTAAGCACAGGCCTTGTTTCAGCATCTCCAACAACTTTAGTTACCATTTTTATATCAACAAGAAGCTGAATCTTACCTAGTTAATAACAAACAAAAACAGAAAGGTTCCTTACCCTTGGGTGAAGGTTGCTTTCTCAGATTCAAGTTATCTCCCACATTCAATAAAGCAATATCCCCCACCATCCATGAGATGGCTCTTGAGCTGTACAATACTAATGTTTATTTATAAATTTATGTATTTGTGTGTATTAATCATGTCCTCAACTTTCTACTTACCGTTCTTACTACAGGGCAGTATCAACACTCTTGAGCCAGTTTTATTATTTAAAATGAGAATAAGAGAGTAAAATGGCCTCACTAAATTTAAAAAAGATAATCTGTATTTGTACAGTCTGTTATCTATTAGCAAAATGAACACAAAAAGGGCAAAGATAAACATTGTTGGTTGCCAAAAACTAATCAGAAATTAACAGCATTTGATGATTTTATTTATAGGTATGTATCACTTACTGTCCATGGTTAAGTTTTGTGAATTAGGATGTTATATGATTTGGACTCTATACAAACACGAGGTTAAAACTTTATGCGAGCCTGCTCCTGGTTACTTTCCTTGCTGCTGCTGCTACTGGCAGAGGACTGAATAGCAGCAATGGTGATGGCTGAGAGAGCTACCGCAGAAGCAAAGCAAGAGGCAGAGAGTGGGAAAGGGAGCAGTGTGACCAGCCCCAGCTGCTGTCTGCTCTCCACAGCAGCAGGACAGCCCCGGCCCCAGCCCCAACTGCCCAAGAGCCCACAGGACAAAGCCAAACCCAGACTTATACCCTCTGCCTCACCTACCTGTTTTCTACCCACACTGGTGGTCCAGTACTGAGAAGAATCTGGGCTTGGGGTCTTTAGAACCCCAAAACCCAAACCCTTATGTCTTTAAAGACATAAGGAAAACTGCTTTCTTTTTTTAAAAAAGTATACAGATATGTATACGCTGTTGGACACTGTTTAAACAGACATTAAGTGATGCATACCTATACTTACATAAAAAGTAATGTCAAATTTTAAAATTAGTTTTAATTAAATGAGTATTTATTGTACCCACTACACAAATGAAACCGCCAGTTCAAAGGACATCAAAGTTTACTACAATAAAAAGTAGCACTTGAATCCCCAAACTTTCTTCCATATCATCACATCAGCCAAAGAATAAACAAGCACACACAAACATAAGGCAGTGGGTGACATAAACAGGATACACATTTTCTTTTTCAAATGGGGGCGGCTATATCTATTTTGAAGGAAAAGGAAGTAATCAGAAAATGCTTCTTAGAAATGGCATATGGGATAAGCCTGAAAGAAAAGTAACACAGGTAGCCATACACTGAAAAGTAAGTCAGGGTTTTATTTGAAGCAAAGAGAAAGGCTTGAGGAAAGGCATAATGGAGACAGAAAAACACAATCAAGTAGTTCAGTCCAATGGAAAAGCTACATAACCATTTATTCTAACTTTAGGAGAATTTTCTTTAAGGTAACTATTGAACACTCAGAATTTACATAACTTTTTTAAATCTCAGGGGAAAAACTGATATATATCTAAAGGTAAATTTTAACAGGACAGCATGCTTTGTGGTGGTAGAGATACATGTGTATGGGGAAGGGTGTAATAAATGATGGAACTATCCAGTAGGTACTGTTAAAAGCTTTCTTGGTCTTGGTCTAGTACACATCCTACTTTACATCAAGGGCAGTTCAAAGAATGTGTACACACACACACACACACACACACTCTTATTTCTCCTTTTCCAGTTGTCAGAGATTAAAAGACTATCATTAGGTAACTAATACCCAACAAAAGACTATACTAAAAGCTTAGAAATCCCAAAAAGAGCTAGTGAACTTTCTCTGTATTTTGTTTAATACTTTTTTAACCTTGATTTGGAGGTTTAAGGTTCAAGGATTCATGGCACATGTAAGTTAACTGACCTAGTTAACATGTTTAGTGCTTCTATTCTACCTCCTAGTTTGTTGTGGAGTATATGGAGGGATGGAGGGAGGGCTTAAAAGCTGGCAAATACCTATCCAAGGAACAATTTGTTTCTATTCACCCGGAACAACAGAGGAAACAAGAGTCAGGAATAGAGGATATAGAATGTGTGGCTAAATCCCTCCATGAACAACTGCCTCCTCTGCCATGAGACCAGAAGAACTGGGTGGTGCCCAGCTGCCATTATGGAACACTTTGATCAAAGATTACACAGAAAAAGTGATCAAAAAGGAGAATGTGCAGAACAGAATTTCCAATTCTTACGGATTTCAGGCTTTCTAGAGTCGTGAAAGCTGAACGGAACCCATAAAAAATTTCTGCCCTGAGATGATGTTTAAACTTTGATCTTTAAACCAGAAATATCTCCTGAAGTCCTCTTAAAACTAAACAACAATTTTGCTTAACTATTAAAAAACGTCTGTCTGGAGCAGTGTACTCTTTCTAAGACTTATCTATAAGGGACCAAAGTGACAAATCCAATTCAAAAGATTAGATAGAAAACATAGGATGCAGTGAGTTCACATTAATGGGGGAGGAACACAGAAAAGGAGGGTAAGAATGGTTGCAAAATTCAAAGAATGTAATCAATGTTTCTTAGTTGTACACGTATAAAGTACTGAGCTGGTGTATTTTTGCTGTGTATATTCTCAACAAAGAAATAAAAATTTTTAAAAGTGTGCTACAAAAAGAAAAAGTTACTTAAATTTTCCTCTATTTTGCCAGTTAAAGAACAGATGTAAGAAAATAACAAATGAAATTCCATAGCCTGTAATATACAGGAAGACCACAAAATATCACAGAATAAAAATAAAACTTTAATTTAAATATAAGTAATGGTATATTCAATATCCAAAATAAAGGCACATGCCCAGCTGATTGAGTCATTTGGGGTTGTGATTCTTTGCTGATATTGGGTGTAACTAGATTCAAAAGGTATGTGCCCACTGTTTTAACACATTAATTAACATCAGCCAAGATATCACAGAGATCTGTAAGGCCTCAGGCAAAACAAGGCTCAGGAATCACCTAAGAATTTGAATAAATTAAGAAAAATTTTGCAGGTCCTTCATTTATGGCTATCATCCTTACTGTATCTTCTCTTTCCAAGATCACAATTACAGAATAGGCATCCTAACAATTATCTTCTGAGCTAATGTGCTACGAAGCCTACAGATCGCTATCTTATTGAGGTTCCTATGGACCATGGTCTGACCTAAGTGGTTAAGCAAATAGGCAAACTTAACAGACAAACATAAAAGCACAGTTTTTTATGTTTTGAGTAACGATAAGGTTATTAAAAGTTTACATAATAATGGTGCGATCATGTAAGGAAAGAGAAATAGGTTACTTGGTATGAGTATAAAAGAAATAGTCAATTTAATTCCAGATGAGTAATATTTCATAGATTACTGCCTTACCTTGAACTACTAATTCCAGGTAGCCACTTAAATAAATCACTTTTGAGGCATCCCTCTAGTATTTACCAATTAATTCTCACCTTATCTCAAACTCCAGTGTGCCTACAAAACACCTGCCTGAGATTCAACAAGATTGGGATGGGTCTCAGGAATGTGCATTTTTAATAATCATTACTGACGGAAGTGATTTAGGGACTACACCTAAAGAAAATTATCTCTAGTTATTATTAAAGCCAAAGACTTCTTAACACATATGTATATCTGTATATATATATATGGCAGTTATTGGGACCTCTAGTGATGTAGTGCCTAAGGCATTTGACTGCTAACCAGAAGGCTGGCAGTTCAAACACAGCAGGCACTCCTCAGAAGGAAGACTGGGCAATCTACTTCCATAAAGATACCGCCTCAGAAACCCATGTCGCTATGAGTCAAATAAATTCGATTGACAGTGTGGTTTTTTTTTCCCCCCACTAGTAGTTATTGCTACTGACAACAAAGACCTCAGCATTTCTATTAGTTAGATCTTTGTAATTCTGCAAGTGAAAGGAAGTTTTTATTGTATACAGAAAATAACTAAGAGTTTAAGTAACTTACCCAATGAAGTACCAATTCAGTAATACTGCATGCCCTCTAGAACTATTAAGAACTGTAAAATTATTCTTTAACAAGGTTTCTTAGTACTTCAAAAAAAATCTAAAGTTTTTTTTTTATTTTAAAAAATTCTTTCTAGGTTCTACATAACCAAAAACTTACTTTAAAATAACAAAACCACTTTACTACCCCAAATTTTGCACCCAATGTTTAGTATGGACTATTTGGGGTTTTACTTCTTTTACTACTATATACACTTCAAACTAGTACCAATAAGCAAATGAAGAGGAATAAAACTGAGTAATCTGTGAATAAAGTAAATCTTTTAAAATTAAGAAGAATGCTTTCTTACTAATATTATGAAAATGAACATTAATAGAAAAGTAACATTCAAAACAAGATTTGTCATTTAGCCATAAAGAAAATAAAATTCTGATACATACTGTCAGTAATGGATGAACCCTGAAACATTATGCTGAGTGAAATAAGTTAGGTACAAAAAGAAAAACATATAATTCCATTTACATGAATATCTAAAACTGGCAAGTACACAGACAGAAAAGTTTACTATAAAAGTTACCAAGGACTGCGGGGAGGAAGGAATGGGATTTACTAGTGCAGTGTACTAAGTTCTTATTTGGGGTGATGTAAAACTTTTGGAAATGGGTAGTGGGTATGGTAACAACACAAAATGGTTAAAGTAACTAATGTCACTGAATTGTACACTTTTAAATTGCTGAAATGGGCTTTACACACACACACACACACAAATAATACACACACACACGTGTATATAAAAAAAAAAAAAGAGCTCTACTGCAACTAATTTGAAAGAGATAATCAGTTCTTTATTCCCAAGGGAGTATCACCACCAAATATTTTCCAATGATAACCCCTACTGTTAACCCACCAGCCACTCCTTGGAAGAAAGACTGGGCAATCTGCTTCCGTAGTGATGTTGTTGTTATGTGCCATCAAGTCGCCCCAACTCATAGCGACCCCTCCTTGGGTTTCCGAGGCGGTATCACTACACAAGTAGGACTGCCCAACCTTCCTTCTGAGGAAGGCCTCAGAAACCCAAGGAGGGGTCACTATGAGTCGGACCCAGTTCGACAGCAGTGAGGTTGGTTTTTTGGTTTATGTGGGACAGGGACTACTGTTATTAGCCATACAACGTAACACTGACAAACCTTTCTTTTGGGCTTTATAATCAGTTATAAAACTAATAATAAATATCTAAGCTGAGCAAATAATCCGAGAAGCTGGACTGTATGAAGAAAAACGTGGTATCAGGATTGGAGGAAGAATCATTAACAACCTGAGATATGCAGACGATACAACTCTGCTTGCTGAAAGTGAGGATGACTTAAGGCACCTACTGATGAAGGTTGAAGAGTACAGTCTGCAGTATGGATTACATCTCAATATAAAGAAAACAAAAATCCTCACAACTGGACCAATGAGCAGCATCACAATCAATGGAGAGAAGATTGAGGTTGTCAAGGAATTCACGTTGCTTGGTTCTACAATCGATGCCAACGGAAGCAGCAGTCAGGACATTAGACGACGTGTAGCACTGGGAAAGTCAACTGCGAAGGAACTGTTTCAAGTGCTGAGGAGCAAGGATATCTCCTTGAGGACTAAGGTACGCCTGACACAAGCCATGATATTTCCAAATCACCTCGTATGCATTTGAGAGCTGGTCAATGAATAAGGAAGACCAAAGAAGAGTTGATGCTTTTGAGTTGTGGTGCTGGCGGAGAATGCTGAAAGTACCATGGACTGCTAAAAGAACTAACAGATCTGTCCTGGAGGAAGTGCAGCCAGAATGCTCCTTGGAAGCAAGAATGGCCAGACTTCGTCTCACCTATTTGATCATGTTGTCAGAAGGGACCATTCCCTGGAGAAGGATGTCATGCTTGGTAGGGTGGAGGGTCGACAAAAGAGGGGGAGGCCTTCAACGAGATGGATTGATACGGTGGCTGCGATGATAAGCTCAAGTATAGCAGGGATTGTGGGGCTGGCACGGGATAGGACAGTGTTTCGTTCTGCTGTGCATGGGGTCGCTATGAGTCGGAAATGACTCGACGGCACTAAACAACAACAAACAACAAAACTGTCTAGCTCCTGGCTAAAAATACAATCATTATCCTGTTTCTCCCTAGAAGCTGCCACCACATTTTAAAAATTTATAATTTTATTTTATAAATAATTATGAACTTATTTTTAAAAATCCTGAGAGTAATGAGAACCAAAAACCCATTGTCTTTGAGTCAATTCTCACTCACAGTGACCCTTCAGGACAGAGTAGAACAGCCCCATAGGGTTTCCAAGTCTGTAAATCTTTATGGAAGCACACTGCCTCAAATTTCTCCAGCAGAATAGCTGGTTGGCAGCTGAATGCTTCAACCACTGCACTACCAGGGTTCCTTGGGGCAATGGGGGTGGGGATATCTCCTATTATCTCAATACTCTAATTATAAGCATTAAAATATTATTTTCTCATGCGTTATCTTGAACATCTCTTTCCATATTGGTACATGGACAATCATTTATGCACATGACAAGATAAACCATAATTTATTTAATATTTGAGAGCATAAACCTTTTGCTACTCTATTAATAACCAGTCTAACACACTATTCACCCTACTATCATTGCCTTTATGTCTTTATATTACTTCACTGTCCTATGGTAAGGAGTTAAGTCTTTAGGCTGGCCCACATTACTATTCATCTTTGTCTTCTGTTCTCTTTCACTAACCACCTGCTCACAAAAATGGTGGCTCCCTGTCCCACATAAACCAAAAAACCAACCTCACTGCCGTAAAGCAGGGTCCAACTCATAGTGACCCCTCCTTGGGTTTTCAAGGCACTATCACTAAGGAAGCAGACTGCCCAATCGTCATTTGAGGAGTGGCTGATGGGTTTGAACCACCAATCTTCTGGTTAGCAGTCAAATGCCTTAGGCACTACGCCACCAGAGCTCCCGTCCCACAGACACATCCAAACCCCTCCTTCCTTGTAGTTTCTATATATTTACCTGCAGATCCAGTCAATTTTAAATACTCCTCCTAGCATTTTAGCATTCATTCCTGCTGGAAGCACCCAGTGTATAGGAGATCCTCCATGATGTGATTCTGAAGAAAGTCTTGCAAACCCTAAGAGAATCAAATCACAACATAATATATAGCTGCCAATATAATGTTTTTATATGTCAAAATTATGAGATTTTCTATGATTCTGATAGAAGTCTTACAAACTCTAAGAGAATCAAACCACAACATAATATACAAATATCAATATATATTTTTAAATACTAAAATTATTTTAATTCTTACCTTGAAATTTTCCACTCTCTCTTACAGAAAATATTAAGATCACACTTCTTGCAGATCTGAATGCAGCATTTAATTTCTTCTCATTTACAGGCAGCGTGGACCACACACCCTATCCAAAAAACAAAGATTGCATATTGAAATTAACTATAAATCTCATGTTTCCAATTTTATTTGCAAAAGAGCAAGACTACTGATTTTGGTGCATTGTAAATTCAAGTAAGCCATAAAAAGTCTTATTCATCAATTGCCAAAATAATGCAGTATTAACTTATAAAAAGCACAGAAGAAACATGGAGGAAATTACCAGCCCTTAACAAAGTCATTAAAATAACTAGTACACACATTATAGGGCCAATCTTCTAGGACAGAATTCTGTGTAATAAAACCAATCACCTAAAATTATTTTGAAATCAGAACCATTTACTATGGCAAAAAAATTCTGTTTTAAGGGAATCACAAATTCTGCAACATTCATCTCCCTGTCAATCTAATCAATAATTTAAAATTACTGTATTTATAAATGTAAAATTGAATTTCAAGATTCTAGTATTTGTCATTCTATTTAAGTTCCAGTTATTTATGCATCAATAATTTGACCAAAGAAGCCTGTGTTTTAACTCTTCAGGAACTAATGGAACACAATTATTAATTAATTTTAATCAATACAGAATATGATTACTGCAACTTTAAAGTTTCTAAAAACCAGTAGAAACTGCACAGAAACTCATTTTAAAAGAAGAACAGAGAGACAGTTATTTGGTGTAACAAAGATGTATTTTTGTACCAATAACAAAGAAAAAAATTAATAACATGCAACATCTTATAGCAATTGGGCATATCCTTTTGGTAAAGTCTGGGGTGGGCCTTTAAGACAGTTCTTAAAAAAAAATCTTAATTTCAAAAAAATCTTAACCCTGGGTAGTAGCTATGCATTCAAGTCATTAAATTCATTGCCTTCAACAGAATTCATTTCTTCTAAGATTGTTGGATAATTTTTCTTTCTAAACACAACAAAAACTGAATGGCTGTTTCTGTAGAGATCAAATTTGATGGGTAAGATACAATGAATCTAATAAAAAAAAAATTCATGGTTAAAAAGGCTCAAGGGTAAAACATCAATTTAAAACAAAGTTAACACATGAAGCTTTAAAAAAGATGTTAACAAATATATTAGAAACGAAATAAAGACAGAAACACAAAAATCAACAAACACATCTTCTAAAGTATAAAATTAAACAAAATCTTCAAAATCAAATACTCTGATTCCTGAAATCATTTTTAAAAGATTTAAAGACAACTCCTACAATTTACCATAAAATGGTTACCTAACAAGCCACAAACCCAATACTAAATAGCAACCTGGCTTTTTAGCTCTACAGTTTTCATGAAAATCACACTATCTTATACTATATATTTACTCCTCAAGATACTTAAGCCCAACTTCCCACTTAAAAAAAAAATGCTAGGATCATGTTAATGTCGACAGAACAGATGCTAATACCTTAGCTTTGGCAAGTGACACATTCTCATGGTTGTTACTCTTTATGAGGAAAAATCTTGCATCCTGAAGGACATATTTGAGTTTACTGGTTTGATCTGAAAAAAAGAAATCCAAATTATTAACTATAGGCCATTATCACACAAAGAAGTACAAACTGTACTAATGGATATTAGCCCTCCACAACCCAGCTAAAATTTTAAAACTCACAATCACCCACTCAACCTGGAAAGCTAAGCCACAACACAAAAATGCAAAGCTTAGAAAAGACACCAGCACTCTGCAAGAAAGTAAATCTAATCTAGTGATGTTCCGATATTTCAGATCCATATTTAAGTATAAAAATGTCTGTAAATTTTGCAGAATTGTTTAGATTGCTTTTAAAATCGATTATACACCATTATTCTGAAATGTCTATTTTTTTAAAAGATACATAACAACCAGCAGACATAGAGCTCTCTGTGTAAGACTACGTTATTACCTTTTGTGCCCCCCCTTAATGTAATATATCGGAACATTACTACATTAAAATCAACCATTAATGGAAAACCAATAAGGCAAATAATGACTTAATGCAGCATGCAATGAAAACAATTTCAAATTTAAATGATACCTTTTCGGACAGCACGAACGGAAGATGATAATTTCTCATGCTTCTTTTCTGAACCTGTATTTAGCCAAAGTACATTTGTTCAGATTGAGCTTTAATAGAAATAAGACAAAATTTCTACAGTCTTGTCACATATAATTCTCATTCAAGACAAATTATTCTTCCTGGCGCACCCACACACACAATAAAGTACTTCTCAATGTGTACGAGTGTTTTGCTTTTTGGGTTGTTTGATTTATTTTTTTTAATATATATATTTGAACAGTTTCCCACTCAGAAAACTCGTCACTGAATCATCATCTTCCAAGAAAAAAAAAAGTGAAAATTCCACTTAAGCAGTAACAGAATAGGATTAAAATAATAAGAAAAAGCTTAGTTTCCTCTAGAATTACTACATTGAACATGCCAAAAATCAATACTATGGACACCAACAAGTTCACACTAAACTACAGCCTTCACAGCAGATTACACTCCAGTCAGTCAGATACAGTAACAAAATGAGAATACCTGCATATGACTCTGATGCAGAGCTTCCACTTCTATCAAAAACAATTGGAGATATGCCTCTAGCTCTCTTCCTTTCCTTCTTTTTCTCATCTAAAAGGAATCCAAACAAGATTTTTTAAAAATCACAATATAAAAACTAACACAAGTACTCAAATTGGAATATATTATACATATATACTCATATACATGTAACAATATGTCTGATTTCTATATAGCCATTAAGTATTAGTCATTGCTTATCTTTCTCTTGCCTTCAGTTTCTCAGAAAAAGTGTTCCACTTCAAAGACACTATTACAAAATTATTGTTTTTCACACCAATTTCAATGAAATCAAAACATATGCCTGTAACTGCAAAATCAGGGACTTAACTGCCCTACATCTAAACCATCAGTTGCCACTGAGCTGATTCCAATTCATGGTGGCCTTATGTGTGTCAGAGTACAACTGTGTTCCACAAGGTTTTTAATTTTTTTATCGCTGATTTTTCAGAAGTAGGTCACCAGACCTTTCTTCTGAGGGACTCTGGATGGACTCTGGCCTTGAACCTCCAACAATTCAATTAGTAGCCTGGAGCATTAATCATTTGTATCACCCAGAGATTCTGTATATACAGTGAAACCTGTGTATGCTAGAACTCACCAGGAACTGGCTTATTTTTCTAGGTCTTGCAAATTTTCCAACTTCAACAAGGTACAGGATTAATACTTTTCTATTGTTCTCTATTAGTGGAAAACAACTGAGTTTTCTTTCTCTGGCAGTTTCCATGTTACAAAGGTTCCAGCTTTCACAGATTTTGTATAAAAATCATCTTGAGTGGTTTTCCAAGAAAAAAAATATCTACAATGTAATTACTATTTTTCTTTCAATAAAAATTTACTCTGTTCCTTTCTATCCACAAGGCACCACTGTATTTTTTTTTTCCTCCAAATTATACCATCATTCCTCATCACAATGTTAATTCCAAACCTGTCTAGGTTAACTTTTGTACTGGGCTTTAAAATGTTTGCTGAACCCCAGAACCAAAGCTTTTCAAGTGGAGAAAAATACACTAAAATGAATTAGTGATTCCCTTCAGGTTGCTTTCTTTTGTCCCTTCAATTCCATTCTTCTTGACCATTTCCTCCCTGATCTTATTTTCAAATTTAATTTAAAATTTATCTATAAATTTGAATGACAATCTATGTACTTCCATAAGCTAAAAATCTCCAATAGCTAGAGGCTTGTATTATCTATCATATAAACACCATTTCAAGCCTAATGTGGCACTTTATATGGCTATGTGTATATTTAAAAGGGAATGCATGAAGTTCTCCTATGTTTATTATTTTAAGAATATCATGTTATGCCCCTTTATCCCTCACCTGAGAGATAAAGAATATGAAGGGAGAAAATACACATATTTACTTTTATAAAAATAATCACAAGCTGAGAAAGAAGAATCAGCAATCACACTTATTCAATGTCTCACTATATAGTAATAATTGAATCTATTTTAAAAGTTTTAAATAAAATATCTCCCTTAATCTTCAAAACAAGCTCATAAAATAGGAAATTATTTTCATTTACAGATAAAGAAACTTCAGCTGAGAGAGAGGGTTAGAAGTTGGCCAAGGTCACATAGTTCCTGGATGGCAGAATTTGGCTGCAAATATAAGTTCTCTGATTTAAGAATACAATCCTCTACTCTTATTGACCAAATGGAAAAGAAAGTTTACTATTCTTGAAAGAGGATTATAAAGAGTTTAAAAATGGAAAACTCAAGTACATTTCAAGTTCCTTTCTTTAGTTTAAGCATCTTTACTTTTTAAGAATTGTTTCTTCATATACATGTAACAAAAAAGCTTTACTTCTAATTTAGGGCTGAAAGGGAAGAGAAAACCTGCATACACAGGCAGAAAAACAAGGCCAAGACTACTTATAGCCAGCCAACCATGGGGGCATAATATTTTAAATAGCCAGCTATTAAGCAAAAAGAGCTGGCTTTCAAAAAATTTTTATTTTTTTTTTCCCCAATGGCAAACCAGGAGAGCCTCTCAAGTGATCAGACTAAAACTTTTTTTCTACAAAATGAGTGGGGATCTCATCCAGACAGAAAAGAGGTGACTTTGTCAAATCCCAAAAGTTTTTCTCGTACATGTCTGTTTTTGCTCACTGACTACATTCTTATTTAGTACCTGACACATAGTAGGAACTTTTGACTCACTGAATCAATACAACATACATATGAACTGAAAATAAAGCTTGTTAATTTTTTCCCATTATTTCTTTCCAAGGTGCTAACATGCTTCTTTTTTTCCTTTTCATATATTCATCCCATAAGTTTTCAACATTATGAATTATTAGTCTGAAGACAATAAATCTCTTGTTGCTTTTAAAAAGAGTATTTTATGGTTCAAAATATAAGAAGCAAAACCAATATAATACAAGTAAAATAATAATGACTGTTTTATATAATGTTAAACCTAGCATTAGAACAAGAAAAATCACATTTTTTTTTTTTTCGGTATAATCCCAATGCTCTTAAATACATCTTCCTCCCAAAACTATCACTCTGGTGTCAAAGGAACAATATAAAGCTTTATCAAACACGAAAGTGTGCCACTTTTGTAACAAAGTTTCTAAACATGCTGAAGTAAAATAAACTGGTGTCTAGAAAATTCAAGACACAGAAACTAAACTGTGATCCCCTCTATCTAAAAATTTGCATCTCCTAATCAAGGAGTTCCAAATACAACCCGTTTTTAATTCACGTATTATAAAAATAATTTCCTTCACCTAAATAAGTTTCTAAAGCATGTTTCACTTAAATCTTTAGCAAGGAAAAGTAAGGGTTCCAGGTATTTTAGTTAAAACAATGCATCTCTCCTATTAACACTTCTAATACTAAGCTTTTTTAAAAACTATATAGACTACCTTTCAATTTGAAATGAGTTCTCTACAAAAGTAAAAATACCATCATCAGTTACTGTGCTATAGCATCGGCATTGTCTGGGATGCTTAATTATCTCAGACTCCACTCATTTAAGTCTCCCCCCTTTTTTGACTTAAGTAAAATATTCAAGTCTGAGAAACAATGATATAAAAAGATTCCTTCAACAAAATGTTCCCTACCACAATGGACAGTTTCACACATTTTCCAAAATGCCATTTTTGGTCCTGATCCATCATTACAAATTATGAAAGATACATCTCATCCATTTGCCAAAGGTATGACGAAAAAATAAAATTAGAGATTACCCAAATTTTTTTTTATCAGTCATTCAGTTTAACTTCTTAATCCTCTTTAAAAATACATCAAAATTCCCAAACCATCAACTCTAGACAGCAAAAGGCTCAAAGCACTTCAGTTGCCACTGACTAGAACTCAGCTGACCACTTCTCTATACTATCAAGACTAGGAGTTCTGGTGGCATAGTGCCTAAGGCATCTGACTGCTCACCAGAAGACTGGTGGTTCAAACCCACCAGCCACTCCTCAGAATGAAGACTGAGCAATCTACTTCTGTAGAGATACTGCCTTGGAAACCCAAGGAGGGGTTGCTATGAGTTGGAACCAACTCGATGGCAATGAGTTCCTGAGTATATCAAGACCATGATTTATTAACAATGTACTATCAAATAATAAAATTCTGTAATAATTGAAACTAACTATCCCATATATCAAAATAGTGGGATATTCCAATATTTCATAAACTTTGCTTATGTGGCAAATCTCATAGCATAGGACAGACATGCCAAGGATAATCATCATCATCAGAAGTCTTTAAGTATCCTATTCTCTCCTTGCTTGTACCCTCCTCTGACCTTCTCTGCCAATACCCCCAAGAAAGACCCTCAGCTGAATGATTACAACTACTTGTTATTCCTATGCTTTCATTTCATAGATCAAATAGGGATAAAGTGGTAGAAGATGTAGTATTGAAGTAATGATCAAGATGACTCTTACCCATAAGAATATTCTTCTTTTCCTTCCTGTCCCTTTACATCCCAGCCCCCTGTAGATCCTGTCTCAGATTAACCCAAAGACAAATAATGAAGTTTGTGATCTCAAGAGAAAAAGACATTGCTTTGATTCTGTTCCCACATGATGGAAATCTAGAGGCATTGTACTACGGAAATATTGGGACATATAGTGGACAGGTTCCATGCAAATACACTTCAAGTACACCAGTGTTAACATGTACATTTGTATGAAACTCTTAAGAATTTGCAACAGTAAAATCTGAAATACATTTCCTTACAGAGCATCAAACGTTCAGACTTGTGTTCACTTATAACACAATTTGTAGCTGGAAAATACCTTTACTAAGATATGTAAACCTTACTTAAGATTATTCAAATATATTTATAACACTTAACAGCAAATAATTAACTATAAAAGACTACAAGCCAATCACATTAACATTCCTCCAATTTCCTCAAAAAATCTGTAACTCGATTTAAACAAGCTAATAAAATCAATTTTTAAACAACAAAAAAACAGACAATTTCTTACTCATAAAAATTAGTACCTGATCCATCTGTGCCTGAACCAGATCTAACAGATCCATCTGTGAAGGACACAGATTCAGAATCTGAGTCACTAGCCTCACTTCGAGTGTCATAATCATTTCCCTCCTCCTTCTGGTCTCTCTCATCCTGTTCATATTCTTCTTCTTCCTCCTCCTCCTCTTCTTCTTCCTCCTCCTCCTCTCCTTCTTCATCCACTTCCTCATCTTCCTCTGCATCTTCTTCTACCTCTTCATCTTCCTCCACATCTTCTTCCACTCCTTCCTCTTCATTCTCAGTGTTGTTGCCTTGCTCATCAGAAGAACCACTGCTGCCAGTCTCATGGTCAGAACCATATTCTTCAGAGTTCACTTCTTCCTTAGAAGATTGGCTGGATCTGCTTGCACGTCTATCCACATCAAGCCCAATTCTCTGAAGTTCAAAGAAAAAGGGAATAACAGACAAAAAGTGAATAAATAGTTCTAACAGCCTCAAAAAGAAAAGCTTTCTGTTTAATCTATCTGCAATAATATTTAATACCTCAGAATCATCTGGCGTTGGGGATTTGGTCCTCCTTTCAGGATCCCTTTTCCGGAGACAAGTCTTTTCAGGTTGACTCTTATAAGGTTCTCTGGTGGCACTGCTTGACAAACGGATCTTCCGATCAGCATCTAGACGCTTGTTTCTTTCAGATCTTTGATATTCCTCATTTTTATACTCTGTGATCGACTTTCCTTTAGTACTAATGATTCTTTTGTTATTGCTAACAGATGAGCTTAGCGGCTTTGAAATCAACTGTCTTGAATGAATAGAAGGCTTTTGTCGTTTGGTGTCAGTGGATTCCATTCGGTCGCTTTTTCTTTTTGATCCTTAAAAATATGATTTAAAAAGACATAAAAATGAATGCATTTGTTCTGTAAACTTTCATCCAAATTAAAAAAAGAAAGAAAGAAGACACAAAAATGTTTGTAGTCTTCTATTTATCTCACAAAAAAGATTAAAAGATAATATACATCAGAGAGAAAAAAAAGTTTCATTTCTTTAAAATACCTTCTGAAATATTTGTATTTGAAAGTTAAAGAAAACATAGGTATCAAATACAAGGAAGAAGTCCATGTATTTGAGTAAGTTTCATATGGAACAGGGTACATGGTTAATTATCAGTCTGTTTGGTGTCAACTGTCTCAAGAAGCAAATACAAATGCTACTAATTTTCTTCAGAAATTAAATCTATATGGTTGTTATTTTAGCAACATAAAACAAACTACACATACCCTTTTTCTCGTTTTTATCTTGCTCACTTTCTGGGTTATATAGTTCATCGTCCTGTTCTGGTACTTCAGTCAAAATATCATCGAGAACATTAAGCTCTCCATCTAAAACCAAAAAATTTAAAAACGGAAAAATCAGTATTCATTAAGCATTTATTTCTAAGTGTTTACTATGTTGAGGCCATGGAAGTATGAAAGCATAACCCTCACAGAGCTTGTACTTTGGATCAAGACACAACAGTGATATGATACAATATAAAAGAAACTGGTACAGAGCTCTGGTATACAAAGTCAGGAATATGCACCCCAAGGGGTTATAAATGCTGTGTATTCCCCTAAACCTACTTAGTGCTTACAAGGGAAATATAGTAACTTTCCAGTGGAGAAACCTGACAGACTTCAGCTTACATAATCATCTTATATCTCCAGAAATGGGACAAATCAACACCACAGAGTTCCTGTTGATACTCTGAAAAGAATAAAACAATGCTTTTGTGACATCACTAAGGAAAACTCAAAATTATAATCTAATAATGTGGTAAAATCTGATTAACCCAAATTAAATGGAATGCAATGAAATACAAAGACTGAGTAACTATTCTGGTGCCATGGTTAAAGCATTCAGCTGCTTCCAGCCAAATGCTCAGCAGTTTGAACTCACCAGCCACTCTTCCCAAGATGAAGCCTTGAAACACTATGGGGCAGTTCAACTCTGTCCTATAGGGTTGCTATGAGTCAGAATCAACTCAATGGCAGTAGGTTTGTTTTTTGTTCCAAAGAGACAAGACCAGTGAATACAGGGTAAGATCTGGGATATAACTGGGAAAACTGGCAAAATCTGAAAAAAGGTTTGTAGATTATAATACGTATTATATGTATTAGTGTTAATTTCCAATGTTGGTAATAACGTGGTTGAGTAAAAGAAAGTCCTTATTTTTAACAAGTATATACACAAGTATTTAGGGGCAAAATGTCATCATGTCAAACAGTTCAGGGGTGGGAAAAAAGTACATGTGTGTATGTGCATGCATGTGCACATGTAAATACATACATACATTAGGAGAGACAAATGTAATAAAATGTTAATATTTGGGAAATATGATTGAAGGAGAAAAGGTAATTCTTTGTACTATTGTACTTATTCTGTACATTTGAAAGTATGTTAATATTAAAAAAAAAAGAAAAAAATTAGTGATGTGTTACACACTCAAAAAAGTTTGGAGATCACTAGTGTGCACTGTAAACGTATAACCAGTTACGAGACCTATGATTATACTGACACATCCAATGATAACGAGAACTTAGAAGTCAGTTTTGCCATTTTAACCTTCACTCCTTCACTATGTCCAACAGGATAAAATAAATCTTTGAAATTTGAAATACATGCAAATTTAACCTGATTTGGGGGGTAATGCACTAAAGCTAATGCTTCAATGCTTTGAACACTCAGTATTCTGGTCTTTCATTTTTATGGTATGACAAAGGGAGTATATAAAGTCACAAGAACTACTGAGATTGTAACATCATAGTTACAGCTTCAGGACAACAGCAAAGACAACTTAGAATATTAAAAAAACAAAATCCCCACCATCAAGTCCATTCTGACTCATGGTGACCCTTTCGGGCAGAGCAGAACTGTCTCATAAGGTTTCCGAGACTATAAACCTTTATTGAAGCGGACTGCCTCATCTTTCTCCCACAGAACGGTTGGCGGGTTCAAACCACCAGCCTTTTGGTTAGCACGTGAATGCTTTAACCTCAACATCACCACTGTGCCTCAGAGTATAAGGCAAACTCACTGTCACTGAGTCAATTCCAACTCATAGCAACCTCCACTGGCTAACAGCCAAATGCCTTAATCACTACACCGTCAGAGAGCTCCTAGCTACTTAGAGTACAGCCGGGTAATTATTAATTTGAGGTGTATACACAGGTCAAATGAGATCTGTAATGCTCTCCTAAAATGAAATATAAGTATATTTACACATATATATACTTTTCAAGAAACGGGACAAATGACTTTTCACCAGTTCTCAAAGGGCCGGCCCCACAGCAAAGTAAACCACCCACAGGCAGACACAAAAACACTTCTGAAAGAGGAGTATTTAGAGAAAACAAGGGGAGCTCATCAGAGGAGCCAAAGAATGTCACCATTTCAAGGGAAAAAAATATAGGTAACAGTTATTAACATGTCGTAAAGTTCCAAATGAGAAGGAAAAAAATTCTACGTTTGGAAGACAGAAGCCCAACTACAAATCAGCAAAGTTGAATGCAGCGAAGATCAAAAAGTGCAAAAGACAAGGCTTCTCCCTGATTGGCCTTTTAAGACACTCTTCTCAACAGTACGCAAAAGAATAGAAGTGAAAATGCAACGAAGTGTAAGGAAGAAACTGAAAATAAAAACATAAAGGTACTGAAAAGAGACCACTAACAGATACAAGACTACATATAAAAAAGCAAAGTTTTCCTTTTTTTCATTTGGAGACAAATGCTAATTATTAATATCTGGAAATTACTTATACTTGGAATGGGATAAAACAATTGACTTCTTAGAGAAGCAAGAATGCTTATCTGTACTTTCCAAAATGAATATATACTACTGGGTTTTTATTTGTTTGCTTATTTTTTTAAGATCTTATTTGAAATAAAATCTATCAACCAAAAAAGCTTCTCTCATCCTCTGAATTCATGTTTTCATTAAAGATGAAATTCCCTCAAGATCTGGATGGTAGTAAGCACCATTTTTAGATCTGTAGGTAAAAATAAAAACAAATTTAAGTAATTTGATACAGGAAATCCAAGTATTACAGATGTTTAATGATTCTTGAAGCAAAGTTGTCTAATCAGCAAATAAGAGAGTCCAACAGATTTTGACAATCAAATACAACTGAAAAAAACAAAAAGAAAATTTTAAACCTATCCTCACAAAATAGGCAATTCAGTAAATATTAAACTAGATCAATCTAGTAAATCACTATTTACTAGAAATATCACTCCAAAAGCCTCAGCATTTACATTAAATGATGCCCCTGATATGTTAACCATAATGTACAATAAAACACAGAACCATTCAGGTTGATTCAATTTAAAGTAAGATATGCCTAAGTCATGGTTTTCCTAAAGAAAGGGGGCACTGTCTGAAGAAGCTTTAATAAACAATCATATTCACCAAATTCAGAAATTAGTTATAGAAAATATCTAGACTTTGTCAAGACATTTAACAATTCTTTCTTACTACAACATCTTTGCCACTTTAAAATTTATTACTTTCAAAAAAATTAAAAAATAAAAAAATTGATCACTTTCACAATGCTAAATGAAAAACGGTAATTTGTACACATGAGACAAATACCCAAAACCGATTGCCGTTGAGTTGATTCAGACTCACAGCAACACTTCAGGACAGAGAACTGCCCCAGCGGGCTTCCAAAGGTATAAATCTCTACAGAAACAAATTGCCTCATGTTTCTCTCCCAGTGCAGCTGGTTACGATCTCTGGCCTTTTGGTTAGCAGATGAATGCTTTAACCACTGCACCACCAAAGCTCTTTATGGAACAAGGCATATTTTATTATGCATACTTTCCAGTTAAAGAAATAGAAGCTTCGAAGTTTAGTGAGTTGCCCAAATTTACTTGGTTAGTGAAAGAAAGATATGAATCTAGAGTTCAGGCTTTTTATGTTACCCATCCAGTTTAACCACAGATTTTGTGGTTAAACTGGATGGGTAACATAAAAAGTACCTTCAAGTATAAAAAACACAAAACAAATGCAAAATATTACTAAAAGAGCATATGAACTAATAGACTAATTTCAAAATAGTATTCCAGAAAGCTCTGTACTCCCAACATTAGATAATTTTAAATTTACTAGAATTTATGATGTCATTAATAACATACTCATTTAATAGTCTATGTATTTTTACTTTTAATACACATATAATCCATGGCATCAATAAGCTGTGTGGTTTGATCACAATGATATACATCAATATACATCAGAAGTAAATTTGCTAGAATATTTTAGGTCATTAAACATACTCATTTGATAGTCTATGTATTTTTACTTATAATACACATATAGTCCATGGCATCAATAAGCTGTGTGGTTTGATCACAATGATATATATATATCAATATACATCAGAAGTTGGCAAACTAAAGCCTGCAGGCCAAATTCTGCCAATGCCCCCCCTCCCTTAGCCCACAAGAATGGTAATTATGTGTGTAAGGGTTGGGGTGGTGAGAGAACTAGACAACAAAGACCATATGTGGTTCAAAAAGCCTAAAATACGTAAGCCATTTGTAAAAGAATTTGCCTATGTCTCAAAAATTACATTTTTTATTACTTTCCTACATTGCCATGTTTGTGTTTACTGAAACAAGATATACAAGGAAAAACAATTTGGTTTGGTAGGTAAGGAATCCAAAATAATACCAAGTAGCTAGGTATCTTTGGGAAGTCTTTCTGAGCTCCAGTTTCACTACTTCTGATATTGAGAATAAAAAGATTAGTGTTTGGGAAGAGAAAAGGAAAGCAGTAATTTTAATCTCTGATGAGTCTTTCAACCTACAAGCCTTTTCTACCACTATCAGATCCTAATAAACCTTGCACAACACTTTTGTTTAATTAGGCTACATGATACACAAAATCTTGTTTAGAATACAAAACAAAACAAAACAAAACAAAATCCTTTCTTCAATAAAACTAAAGCACATTCTGATAGCTACTGATACAGAGTATATCACCCCAAAACTTGGTGGCTTCAAACAGTAAAAATCATTGTTATTATTACTGTTCATGATTCTGGGGCTCAACTAGGGTGCTTCATGTGTTTGCAGTCAGCCACATGGTGGCTGGGGCTGAAATCATCTGAAGGCTTGCTCTTTCCACACGTCACATAGGTGCCCGAGTCAGGAACAGTAAAACATATGAGGTTCTCTGGCACTCTCTGGATGCTTACTCCATGGCAGCTTTAGGGTATTCAGACCTCTTACATAGTGATTCAGGGCTCTAAGACAGTATGAGTCATGAGAGAAAGAGGTCAGGAGAAAGCCCTGCTCAACATAACTACCAACACTCTCATGGTGTTTTACTTGCAGAGGCA